ATCTTCTGAGTGTTCATGAGATCGAAAGTGATAAGGTCACCGAATGTCTTCAATTTCCGTTTGAAAGCCCCCTTGCTAGTCTTGTAGTGTTTCATTTTTGCTCTCACACATGACTTGCAGTATGGGTTCTTGTATCGGTGCGTCATCAAGTGCAATATGGATTTCGCCTCGTTCTTCAGCACTCCTGGTTTTGATAGTCTGGTTTCCCCGTCAACCACATCGACTTCCAATAGTCCCTCTTCATCTTCATCAATGTCACTCTCCCCTCGTTCAGAATCCGCATCACTCCCATGCTCGTCGCCTCCGGCTTCTTCAGATTGACCTTCGTGATCACGATCGAGTCTCGGGTCTTCCCCGTCGTATTCCTCTTCAGGAGAATACCTGTCATCATCGTGTTCCTCCGGTTCTCCTTCGACGCCTGCAACGGCTGGATTGATATCAGACTCGCCATCTTGACCTTTCTGGTTATCTTTCTTCTTTCTCCTCCGTCTCCGTGATTTCTTGAGCGGAAGTTCCTCTTGTTGTGTCTCCTGGCCTGTTGTGACCTCGTCTTCATGCCCCACACCTGACAGTATGCGATGAAGTATCGTGGCCAAGCCATCTGGTCTTGGTAAACATCTCCCGTCATCATCATTCACCTTGATGTAGGGTATGTTGTCATGCACCGATAGCGGAATCTTGTTCGCGTTCTGGTCGATGAGGTATGGCAATTGATTCGCCGGCCATATGAATGAGTACCCTTGCTCCATGCACCGCTTCCCGATGGAAAAGACTGATGGTGTGCTTTCCAACACGTGTGCCTCGGACCTCATGGGTAGTTCGTCCACATTGATGTCCACCATCTCTGATGTACTAGTTACACCATTCGCTGTCATGAAGCTCACGGATTTGGGTCCTTCCTTGGTGGTAAGGCCCATGGCATTGACCTTCTCTCTTGAGATCAAATCGTGTCCACATCCCGTGTCCATGATGAAGCGTATCGGTGGTCCATCATACCTCTCCACAGCCATGAACATCGTGGTTCCTGGTATCGTATAGTCGACACAATCCTTCTTTACTACCTCCCTGGTGTTGAAATCAGACAGGTCGACGCTCACCTCAATTCCTTCATCTTGAGTGATTTGTACCCATGCCTTGGCAACGTGTTCAGCATAGAATAGCTCCATCATCTTACCTTTGGCATGTGCTACTCGTGCAGCTATGTTATTCACTCTGAGGGCTCTCAACGACGAAATGAGCTCGGTGTCCACCTTCTGCACCTCATTCCTCCTCTTCCTGAGGGGACGGTTGTTCAGCTCATTACCAGGATCGCAGGTGAACGTGGTCACATTCGCCTGGTCATCGAATCTGACTTTAAAGCGAAGCGCCAGCTTACCTGGTTGTACGTTGGGAAGTGCGGGTTGTATGTCCTCGTCATCACTCTCGATGTCCCCGCATAGCATGAAGGCTGGCGCAGCCGGTTTGGGCTTGGCTTTGCCTTTAGCCTCTTGCTTTGTAGCAGGAGCAGCTTGATGCTGACGTCGACATTTGTCCCCGAACTTGCACGATCCTTTCTGCCAATTCCAACAGACCTGATCCTTCAATGTCTTAGGGCTACTGCTCCTGCCACCGGGACTCTTGGATCTGTCATCCTTGATGTTCTCTGGTTTCTTGGCAGAACTCTTGTGCTTCTCTTGATGACTGAACTTGCATTTGTCTCCTCTAGAACATCCGTTTTTCCCATGGAAGTGGAAAGCGCATCCTATCTTGGACGTATCTGCCGGAGTCGTTGATCTGCCACGATCCCCTTTTGGGCTCTTCGTGGTTGATCTTCCACGGTCCTGTTTCCTGTCCTTCTTGTTGTGATCCTTCGGATTAGCCTGAGGAAGTACTGGAGCTGCCTGCTTCGGTGGATCGGTCTTGGTATTCTTGGGTTTGGCTTTAGGATCCTTCTTCTCCGCCGCTGGTGTGGCTTTCACGATGTTCCCAAAAGCCTTTTCCCTTTCCTTCTTGTTTGTGGTCTCAATTGATTTCCGTATCCACTTCGCCATGATCTCTCGTAACTTCTGGTAGGTCTTATCCGGATCTTTATCCAACATGTTGTCGTACACAGACAAGTCTAACGCCATCACTTTGGAATCCTTGATCTTATCCCATAGCAGGTTGCGAAGTGCTTTGTCAGGAAGCATGTCATCCGCATCCATACCTGATATGATCTCATCCCACTGTCCTAGGAATCTGGATAGTTGATTATCCCCAGGGAACTTTAGATCGAATAGGTGTTTTGAGGCATACATCACGTCGACATTGTCGGCACTCCGGAAACTATCGACGATCAACGCTAACATTTCTCGCCCCTTGACCATTCCGGGAGTTGTGCCTCTCGCACGTCTCTGCATCATCTGCCTCACCTTAAGTTGCACGTCATGAGATCTCTCACCTGCTGCGTGGATGATCGTATGCAGGGTGATACCTAGCTTAGCGTCTATGCTAGCGAACCTTGCCTCGCCTGAGGTCTCGAGTAGAAATGGGTCATATGGTGATCTGAAGGCGTCCGAGAGCCATTGGATCCAATCTTCTTGTTTCTCGTCGCCCGATGCCGTCACGACCGCCGCTACGACCTGGGATTTCCAAACCTCCAGGTCGTGTATCTTGGGCCATGCAGGGATGTTGATCTTTTCGTGTTCCTTCCGAGATATCTTGGAGCCGCCCGAGCTAGAGGATGAAGCGGCACCATGTTCGGTTGCGGCTGCATTCTCTGCATTTGTGCGCTCCTCTTCGTATCTCTTCCGGTACTTATTCCTCTCATCTCTGAGTCGTGATGCATGCGCTTCGAATTCCATCATGTCCTGTTGGTTCTGCATCATACCCTCGTAGTACTCCATCGCCTCTTTCTCCTCGGACTTTAATAACTTTTCAGTACGTTCAAGTTCCGCTCTAAGCTTGGTCGTCATCTCATTCTCCACACTGAGTTCTGATCCCATGTCTGGTGGTTTCAATTTCAGTGCGATCTTCAATTGTGCTTCACTTGCGCTTGATTCAATCAATTCTTCCTGAAGACGTTTCAGTATCCTCTCTTTACGTAGGATGTCCTCTTCCAACATGTTCACCTTGACTTCGGCCTTCTTGAGTTCGGCGCTGGATGGTTGAAACGATCGCTCGGATCCTTGAATCCTCGCCTGAGTCAACTCCTCGTTCGCCTTCTTCAACTGCTCTCTGATGCTCAAGATGAACTTGTCCTGATTGTTAGTTCGGTTGTTGAGCTCCTCATTCTCTTCTGATAACCATTTGATCTTGTTTGCATGCATTGCTTCCCTCATCTTCATCTCTTCAATGTATTCGTGTTTGTTTCTGGCACTCTGCCTTTGTAGTCCAACTAACTCTTGTCTACACAGATCCTTGATGTTCTCAGCATCTGCGATTGTAGTCATGACCTCGGTTACGGCTCGATCTCTTTCTTCCGATATAGCCTGGATCTCTTCCGTGCCGATGTTCACAACTTGACTAACCATCTCTGCGCTGTTGCGATCAGCGTACTCCCCCAATTGGGTGAGACGATCCCGCATTGCCACGCGATCAGTGTCCATCTGGTATTGCAGGTCGTGTGCTGCTGAGAGCAAACAGTCTCTGGATTCTGTAAGTTGGGTGATTCTTCGTTGATTTCCATATCCTTCAACATAACATTCTTCGAGGTGTGCCATCACTACTTCGTGGACTTCGGTCTCGTGTTGTATAATCTGGTTCTGTCTCTGCTCACATTCGACCATCCATGCGTTTTGGTGGTTCAACATATGCACTTCGGCAAGTAGTTGCGCACACTTCGCATTCAGGTCTCCATCGGCCCGTGCTAGTTGTAGGTTGTCAGTGCTTGCCCTTGCTCGATCCCCAGCTTCGCTGTCCGACGGCACTGGTACAGCTGACCCATCCTGCAATGCTAACACTCTCACAGCTCCGGTGTCAGTCCTCCTCCTTGTCTCCCTAGTGCTACGGTCTGACCTCGGTGTCCCCCACGGTGGTGTCGAGTGCGCTGACGGGGAACGACTTCGTGCTCTACCTGTCGCACCTTCTCTCACCGCTGTCAGAGTCTCCACTTCGATCGTACCTGGACTAGAGTTGTGGGATGCACTCAACCGATCTGCGGCCGCAGCAGCTGCCCCAAAAGATGCAGTGCTGGCGTCGGATTGGTCCATCTTGAGTGACTGAGGGTAACTGATCTATCCGATGCGTGTGCGTTTAGATGGTGTTGTGTAAGGCCGCAGCACGAACCCAGCTCAAAGGAGTCTGGATACGGCTGATAACCTGCGAACGGATGGAAGGTGTGCCCTGGCCCCGTTCTAGCTCTTAGGTCAACATGAAGCTCGCGCGCTAAAGCTCCTTTTTACCTGGTTGGGCACTTGAGCCAAAAGTATATGGCATGTACCTGTATAGCGACTATACTGGGACCCCATCCCTATTGACAAAAAAAACACCAAGATTCAGAGTGTGCACCGCATGGGTGCCCTATAAAATGAGGTTCAAAATTGGCATAATATAGCACAAAAGGATCGGCATTTTGTAGGCGAACACCGGTATAAACAAGAGAAACAGAAAGCAACTTGTTTTTGTGCCCGCCCTACCTCTCTTTTAACGTGTATATATATATATATAACTACAGTAACTACTACAATTTTATTTCTGAGATGGTTGACTACTTGCTGCACCACCAAAATAAAATATTGCACATCTGGCACAAGCAAAAATGCACGCTCTCCCCAATCTGAGATCTACACCTTCCTAAATCTGAGACTCTAAATTTGTTTGGAATATTCTAATTACTTTGGAGCCTTTGACACTCAACGAGAATACTATTCTGACCCTCCCCACCACTACCTGTTTGAAATAATATCGATGTGCAAATTATTTTGACATGTTTTTTCAGTACAGTACTGCCACCTATGAAATAATTACGTACAGCATCCCTCAGGGGAGAACTCTCATTGATGCTAGATGCAAACAAGGCTTGGATGAAGACGAAACCCTGCCTTGGAGAGGGAAAGCAGCATCCCGTGGCTCATCTGGCGAACGACACCCAACATCCACAACACTTTGGAAACGTTCTTGACGTTTCTTGACGTTCCTTGGAAACTTCTAATCCAAGGCGTTTGCTCAACTTTAGTGCTAGCATGTGCTAGCAATCCTAGCTGAAAGCTGCGAATCTTGAGACAAGGATGGACAAGAATCACAGAGTTTTTGCATGATGATTGAACAGCCATGTGAGTATAAATCCAGAAAAGATAAATTGCCTGGATCGTCGGGCAATAACTCTGCTTCAAGCGGCAGCGCAACGGTTTCCAAGGTACCTGGCCAGAGTGATCTTGAAAGTCTCCCACATGTTTCCAAGAAAACAAAAGATACTAGTAACAAGTGCATCGCTTCTAGTAACAAGTGCCTTACTAGTAACAAGAAGCTATTAGAAACAAGTTTAATTAGAATTAATTAAATTAGAAGCTAGAGACGGTCCAAAGACTGATTGGTCGCTGCTTCAACCGAGCCTGTCCCTTGCTGATGCTGGATGGACTCACCCAACGCCCTGATCACAAGGTGGTATGGTCGCACTTCGGAATGTTTCGCACGTGCTCCTAGTCAATGTTTCGCAGCGTCCTTGCTCCGTTCGTAGCGATGCCTTTTGTTCCTAGTAGCGTCCTTGCTCCTAGTGGTAAGGCCAGGAGCCCCTAGTAGCGTCCTTGTTGTATCTCAACGTTCATCGGTCCAGTGTGGCCCAAGTTGTGCACGATGGACGTCACTACCATGGCACCGACCATTCGACCGTCGCGAAAACATCGTGCACCGCCTCGGCTGTCATCCTCGGGGTGAATCCCACAAAGCCCCATGTCTTCACCGCCACTGGGCTCATAGCCAACGGCACATGTCACCTTGGGAGATCAGATGTTCGAAAAAAGAATTACTCAAAAACTGTTCTTTCTTCGCAAAATTTGGACATGAAGCTAATGCAAGAGACAACGCTATGATTTGTCCCTAACATAGCTGCTTCCTAAAGCTGTCTTGGAACTGGCTGACTTGAGATGATTTCGACCGTCATGTAGCAAACGAACCTGATAGATCTCCACATGCAAACATTTGAAGGCTGAAGCTGAGGTCGCTAACCAACACAGTGGCGTTCAAGTGCATCTGGCAGTGGCATGCTTGGCGAGCCAACGGTGCCACCAAAAAAGCTGAGTAAATCTTGATGTGTTTTGAATCCTTCTGACATCCAGAATCCAGAGTCATCAGGCGGTACAGTGGTACTACGGTTGAGAACTAAGAAAATCCCCGCACTTATTCTCTTGCTTTGAGGATGATAATCAGGTTCTTGAGAACCGAAAGGCCAACCCTGTGGATGAAATGCGTTGCTTTCTCATTTCAGTGGAGAGGGTCCGGCCTTCGATCATTTCCATCGAACAAGCGCCGTTCGATCATGCGAAGGGTTCTTCTACGTCTATGTCCTTTCGTTCTGCTTACATCTTCCTGCTCCTGCCTCTCAAATAGACAAAACAAAAAGGAATAGCATATGTGTTATATAGACACAAACAGCAAAATAGAATGGACAAATGATGTGCACATGAATTTGGCATCGGCAGACTCTTCTGGTGACGATCTGCCTCGGACATGTGCGCGATGGCACCCTCAAGGAGCAAAGGCGAAGGATCCGAGCAAAAGTTCGGATGAGGAGCACAGCTCAGCACCTGGACTGCAATGAAACGAAACAAAACCAAAAATACGATATACATTACAAAAGTATTATATCATATTTATGTATATTTTTTTCCATATCATGAAGAGTCATGAAGAATGTGCCTTGGGCTTTGAGGAAGAAACGCATACTAGGATATACTAGGTAACTACGTAGCGGACAGCCGATTCACACCCCTTCCAAGCCTCACTGAGTGGCTGGGGCAAAGTGTAAATGGGCTTCCGCCAAATGCCATCAGAACCACACCTTGGACGTCAAGCGAGAGTCTTCAAGGCAACGGGTCAATCACAGGCAACGGATGGCAATGAATGGCAACAGGGTAAAACTCCATGACGCTCCCCACCAAGGCACACCAATGTGGAATCGCCTGCACTTGGAATCAGACCTCGAGGGCTTGGAACTAAGACGTGAAGACGACAGAAAACAAGGACACATGGTGTCAAGCTGGATTCAACAAAAAGAATCAAACAAACCAGTCTGGCCATAACAAAATTAAGATCTGCCAGGTTTTGCTGGCCATGTCTTGCGCAATCATCTCATGTAAGAAGTTGCAACTTGACGAAGAGGTAGACCGGCTGGACTACCGGATGGCTATACTTTGACCACTCTTCAACTGTTTTTGTTTTGTAGGTCACCAATGATGATGGTGATGATGATGATGATGAGGAGGAGGAGGAGTCCAGGATGAGGATGAGGATGAGGATCAGGATCAGGATGAGGAGGAGGAGGAGGAGGACGAGGAGGACGACGAGGAGGAGGAGGAGGATGCCGCACATGGTGTCATGACTTGATCACCTGGATCACCCCATGCAGGAAGGATCGAAAAGGATCGAAGGACCGGCCTACTTGGCATCGCAGCTTCACAACACTGCCCGGATCACGGCCATGACTTGCAGCCCATATGAAGGAGCTGTTCAAGTCCAAAGGAGGGCAAAAGTTCCTCGTTGTAACGAGAAACTGGATGAAAGGACTGAAAGGGACACTTGTCACTTCAGGGAAACAAATACCTAATAGCGATGGTCTCCAACGTTTTTGAGGTTGTAGATCCTGGATAGCACAGCCTTTACCTCGACATTTGAAGAGTTTTTGAAGCTGAGGCACTGCAATGGCATGCAGGCAGCAGGGATCTGCTTTGTGCCATCCGGAGCCAGCCATGTGCCCTCCCCATGACGGGAGCCACAAACGATATGAAGATCTCCCAATAGACGAACCTTAAGAGGGGCAAAAGGAAACCTCCAAACAAAGCACCCCATAGCTGCGCTCTGAGGGTCAAGCGTGACCCTCTATGCACTCCATAGTTTCGACGCTCCCAACCTGTGCTTGGCACAAGCTGTTCCATCTGAACGAGTTCCTTTGGAGTTCAGTCACAGACTTCATGTTCAGTTCGTGCGTGCAATCACCTACATGTGAGTCGCTAGCATGTGTGGAATGTCCCTCTGCCCAGGCCTGGCGCCGCCAGTCACGCATCAGCAAGCGTCCAAAGTGGACAGGTGAAGCTACCGGACACCAAAGCGGCCTGAAACCGGTAGCCTCCAACCTACTAGCATAGCAATGGCCTCCACCCTACTAGCGATGGCCTCCAACGAGAACAAGTCCAGAGAAGTGTGGAGATCATCATTTCCAGAAGTCCGAAAAGGGAGATAGAATTGAAACAAAAAGCTATTAGAAACAAGTGCCTCGCTACTAGTAACAGGTGCCTTACTAGTAGTTACAAGAAGCTAGTAGTAACAAGTGCATCGCTACTAGTAACAAGTGCCTTACTAGTAGTTACAAGAAGCTAGTAGTAACAAGTGCATCGCTACTAGTAACAAGTGCCTTACTAGTAGTAACAATAGAATGAGATAGACTTTCATCTATCTCAACTTTGCCGAGACTGTCCCGCCCGTCCTTTCGCGGCACATCAAACCACTGGCCGGCATGGAGGAGAGGTTGAACCACTCAGCATAGCCAGCCACCTGCCAAGCACTGTGGTGACAGGGGACTTCGAAGCTGTTCTGATGGTTTCAAGTTTCAGGGGTTGAACAACCTTGTACGTTTCATGTTCCAGTGGAGGGAACTTTAAGCAGCAAAGTGATGCAAAGCTTGGCGTCTCAGTTCCTTTCACCTCATCTACAAAGGTCGAGCTTTCAACAAATCAAAACACCAAAGAACAAGTTTTGTTGGCCATGTTGTGGTTGTATCACAAGTATCTTAAAACCGTCCGCTTTGGCTTTGAGTTCTTCTGTAGTAGAAGCGAAGCTGGTCTTGGCAAAAATGATGTCACAATCGATCGTTCCTTGCGATTATTGTCTTGCTTCATTTCTACAATTGTCTTGCAATTGCCAATATTTTCCCCATGTCATTGCTTGCTTGATGAAGAGTGCACAGCCTTTTGGTCATGCCACCAGAGCCGACAGTGGTGTGAAAGTGGCTACGCTCAGTGGTGGTGGGTAGAAATCCACAATTTGAACTTAGTTCCTTGTGTATCCGCTTCACCTGGCTTGTGGCTGCGCTCGGCTGCGGCCATTCGCAGAGGAGCTCCTCTTCACCGCCGGCCTGCGCAAAACCTGCACAGGAAAAGCGATCGTGTTCCTTTTGTTTTTTGACATGCAAACAAATGTTGCAAAGGTTTCTCCTCAAATCTTCAAACCTTCCGGTCTCATAGATCGTTTCAAAAAGGAACAGTATGAGGTCAATTGGTCCATTCATTAGTTCCTTTGGCCGCAAAAACTGCCTTCCGGATAGACAGGCCAGGGCATGGCAGCACGTGCAGTGTTACCGTTACCGTCTATGTCTCATCTCGCCTGAATAGCAGCGCAACGTTGCGCGGCTGCCGATCGCCCGCTGCTCCTTGAAAATCGCATGGCAATGTCAGGAGCCCCTGGTAGCGTCCTTGCTCCTAGTAGCGATGTCAATTAAGGGATTGATAAGAAGTTTGCAGCATGCCAAGCGTAACCCATCAATGTCCATCCTACATCCGTCTAGCTTTGACGCCCACCTGAGACTGCTTGCGACCTCTGACCAAAAATTATCAATTAACACCTGACAAGTGAGGGGGCGAAAGCCAGCCCTTGCAGGCGCTTCGAGCAATGTGCCATGTCCTGCTTTGTCAAGTATCTTATCGCTAGAACCCGCTTTTCGGAGGTGCTCTAGCCTCGAGACAGCCTTCAAACAAAGCACAAAGGGCAAAAACAAAAGCTGCTCCTGAAGTCCTGAAGGTCTTTTCTAGGGGAACTTGGTGCAATTCAGAGGTGTCCCTTTTTGCGAAACGGCCCTGAAGCCAAGCGCACTCTCTGCATCTAGATCTCTGTAAATCACGCTGTCTTTCCATACCTGCACCGACAATTCATCTCAAGCAGCTGCCAAAACCCCCGCATTTTGCGAGCTTTTCACCACAAATCTCGCAAAATTCATCTCAAGCAGCAGCTCGCAAGATTCAATAAATGCTCCAACATGGATCTGCCGTGCTTTGCCTTGTCAATGGTCTTATCGCTAGAACCCGCTTTTCAGAGGTGCCCTTTTCTTTGCCCCGAGACGGCCTTCAAATGAAGTGCACAAGGGCATTAATACAAACTCCTCCTTAACGCCTCATCGCTACTAGGAGCAAGGACGCTACTAGGGGCTCCTGGCATCGCTACTAGTTACTAGGAGCTTTGTGCTAAAACCCACTCTTCCAGCGGTGCCTTTTTGCCTTCAGCATCCTCCAGCTATTTACGCAGCTGCATCAACTTCCACGTTCAAAAACACATTTTCGCAACTACCCCCCACACACACACCCTGAAACTCATTTCGTTCGCCTAATAGAACTTCAGCCTAGCCCATCGGCTGGCTTTGGTAACACACCCACACAAACTCCCTTGCCTTGAGTGACGTGACCCGCCTTAATCCCTTCACTCTCATGAATGCAGAGTGTTTGGTCCAAGCAACAGAGAGTTGGTAGATCTCACCGCCTGCGAACAGATTGGTGAGGGCAAAGAGGCACCCCTTGGGGCCAGTTTTGGATGAAAGCGCTGCTTTTTTTGCGAATGTAGAGACTGCCTAAACTGCAATTTCTTCTTGTGAATTCGATGATCCAGTCTTGAGCGACGGTCGGAAGTCCACTCCTCAGAAATGCTCTGAAAGTGACGTCCAAGGCCTAATGCTTTGGGGAAACCAAAGGAAAGAATTGAAATACATTGAAGTACATATGTCTAAGACTTTTTAGGGGGTAGGCCGCTAGTAGGGAGAGTAGCTAGTACCTGCAAGTAAGCTACTAACTACTGGACTCAGGAAGCTTCCTTGAAGAAGCGCTCGCGCTAATGATTTGGTTCCATTAGGAAACTTAACCAAGAGGGGGATTCCGAGCGTGCCTGGCACAGGAGAGAGCTCAGGGCACTGAGAGAGGCTGTTGTTGTGGCGCAAAGACATGAGGTCAATGTGGAGTTGGAAAAGATCTCGGCCTCAGACGACCAGACCGTCTTCGCGGGGGGGGGTAGAGGACGCTACTAGGAGCAAAGGGCCTTACTACTAGGAGCAAGAACACTACTAGAGGCTCCTGGCCGTACTACTAGGAACAAGGGCATCGCTATTAGAAACAAGAAGCTATGAAGTAATTAGGAATTAAGTTTAATTAGAATGAGGAGCATTGAAACGCCGTATGAAACGACGCCAAAAAAGTCAAGACAAAGAAATAGACGAGAGTCTTCAGAATTAGCTCATGTCCCATAGGCCCATAGGTATGAAGCCATGGACGAGATAACAGCAGAGCGGTCCATGCAATGCAGTCCATATGGTGATCTTGTGTTTAGTCCAAGTGGCTCACAACAAACAAGTTCTGGACCATGTAAGTGTTATTCTCAAGGTAGTCCACCATCCTCAAATGATATACGGAGTCCAATCATGTGCAAGGGCTGGTCAACAAATTCTGAAACCCTTCCACTTCAATTACAAAGCACATGGGCTTTCATGAATGCATTCGAAAGGCTTTGCCCACTACGTCAGACTCACAAGCAAAGTACATTTATGTGTAGCACGGTGTGGCACAAAGCCTGCATGACTTTTTGTCGAAGCACGGCTTCTGCTCCAACCGGCCATGGTAGCCACCTGTCATCTTCATAAGGAAGACATCTGTGCCCGTCTCAACAGGATTCTCATACTCATCGAAGGAGTAAACGGGCCTCGGGTATTTTTGGGCATCGTGGAGGTGTGCTTAGAACCACACATAATGCTTGCTGTGCTTGCTGATGCACACATGTAGCGTCCTTGCTCCTAGTAGCGATGCCCTTTGTTCCTAGTAGCGCCCTTGTTCCTAGTAGTATGGCCCCTAATAGCTTCTTGTTACTAGTACGTAGTAAAAATGCTCCTAGTAGCGATGCCAGGAGCCCTAGTAGCGATGCCCTTGCTCCTTGCTAAGAAAGGCACACATCAAAGGGCACATTGGTGATCACCGTCTGCGGAGGCAGGGCTTGTGCTCGATGCGCCGAGCTCAAACCCGGAAGCACCTGCGCACTGGGTAGCTTTCAAGATTCAAGATCGAAGCTGAGTCTTCGGCAGTTCTTCAGGGACTTATGAACTTGTTTGACCGAAATTGCTCCAAGAAGACTGCCTACCACGAATGCCAAGCTCTTCTTAGGATTCAACTGCCCTGTACTTCTTACAAAACTGTCCTTACTACCGTCTGACTACTCCTTGAAAGCGGCGACTCATTCGTCGCCTCAATTGGCCAGGTGCTGAGGTCCACTGTGATGTTCTCCTTGGAGCAAGCAAAGTGAGCACAATGTGTTCCACTCTGCTCCGCGCTGGACTAGCTGCGACTTGCAGAGCCCTGAGCGTTGCCAAAACATGTCTATTCAATGTGTCCAATCAAGGATGTTTTACAGATCAAGGGCGTCGCTACTAGGGGCTCCTGGCATCGCTACTAGGAGCATTTTTACTACTAGTAACAAGAAGCTACTAGGGGCTCCTGGCCATACTAGGAACAAGGACGCTACTAGGAAAAAGTGCATCGCTACTAGTAACAAGTGCCTTACTAGTAGTAACAAGAAGCTATTAGAAACAAGTGCCTTACTACTAGGAACAAGGACGCTACTAGGAACACGAAACTCCTGCCTTCGTCTGGCTTCATGTCTCCCTCGACTTCGACTCATCGAAAGCGAAAAAATAACACATGATGCGGGGGGATCCATCCTGGCTGTGCTTGGCCGGCCGGCTCAAGGAGAGGAAGAAGCAAGGTGTTTTGGCCTAAAATTTTACCTCACGAAAGAGGCCCAAACACTGTATGTGTTGTTCCTCTCGAATCTAATTATACTAAGCTCATCAACATATTTTGCACTGTCAATGACTCTCCTAGTCAAACCCGAATCCAAAGCACCAGCTCCAAGCGTAACACCAAGTTGCCAGGAGGATCACTTGAGCACGAAGTCTCCAAAGCCCCGCTTTTGTGGGGAACCTTTGGCGCAACAACTCTTTCAGGGATGACATTATGAAACAAAAGAATACATAGGTGACAAGAAATGTGTTTGAGCATTGTCAATGCATTGCCTTTTTCACCTGCAGTAATTTCTGTGGGAAAGGGTTCTTGCAACGGGCCACCTTGCTTTGACATCAGCTGGGAGAAGCAGCCCTTACTTTTTCTCGACACCATCTTGACAAACAACTTCCGCAAAGGGGGTAGAGTCTAGTGAAGTACAACAAACAATTGTAGGTCTTACTAGTAGCAAATTAGCTACTAATAGCGATGCCCTTGCTCCTAGTAGCGATGCCCTTTGCTACTAGCAGCGTTCTTGTCACTAGTTTGCCACAAGGTTTCACGTTTTGCCCGATGCGTATCAAGTATCCAATAGTAGCCCAGGCACAAACGGAACTGCCGTGCAACGTCCTGAAGGGCAGATGGTTCCCCCACTGGCTATTGGCCTGACTCAATGCCTAGTGTTCGCCAAAAGCACAAACCATCGCCGTCGGCCATCGCCTCATTGCTTGGAGATGCTTGGAGGTTTGGCCTTCGCTTGTCGTGTTTTGTCTTCAAACACCGCAACGCTCGCGGCGGTCGCATCGGTCCAGTGGATCTGCCACGTGCAACGTCGTGGTGAGCTCTTCCGCACTGTCGGGTGGCAACGCATAGAGCGACACCCTTCGCAGGCCTGGACGCGACAGGTTGACAGGTCTACAGATGGTCTCCAGGTTTCAGTTCGTTCTCACATACCGCACCATCCCCAAGACTAAAGACTTCATAAGACTTCCATACTCAATTCGTGAAACTTCTGCACAACTTGCAGCGCCGCCACTTTTCCTCGAATCCAACGAGGTGTTTGCACCAGCACCAGCCAACAGAGTGGCCTCTGCTGTCAAAATGGCTGTCACTTGGCCATTCGCCGGTCCATTTTTGTGATCCAGCTGGTCAATTCGATCAATTCGAAGCACACTGCCCCGAGGGAGGAGGATTTCCTGCGATTCAAAGAGCTGGAATCAAGGGCAGGTTGCCACAAGTACAAAGCTTCACGTGCCTTTGAACTTAGCACGCTGACATACAATCTCCTATCCGATCTGCAAAGACATCAAGGCTTATCTTTGAATTCAGTTTGTTTTGTTCAATAGTGTCATATCTGATTAGGATCGGGATGTCCATATGACGCTTCTCCTCTTCATGGTCGAGACCACTGCAGCAAGCGACACAAATGATTTGTGCTCCAGCTGGCACCTGGATACCTGGTCGAAAGTGGCCGAACTCAATCTTTTAGCATCAGCAAGACTGCAAGTCCCAAGGACCAAACAATGCCATAACCTGGTACCCTTGGTACTTGAATCAAATTTGCATCTTTAGAGTAAACATTAGCAGAGGCGCAAAGACCTTGTCACATCAAAATCAAATGATATCACATACATTCGGACTGTGTCGTGCGTGGCACCCTCCATTGTAGACAAGGCACGCAACAGCACAGCATCATCCAGATCTTCTGGAAGGATAGCATGCCTTCGCGCATAGAAGTTCCCAATCGAATGTGACAAGGAGCAGGACATATACGCATCATCTTTCACGTCCTCCAGCTGCAAACACTGGCTCAAGACTGTGGTGCCTCAAAGCCTTGACTTCAAACATCCAAGAGGGCCTCCAAAAACAAAAAATTTTTTCATTCGCAACCTCATGTGAGATCTTATCTCATGGTCAAGCGTGGGGAAAAGCTTAATTTAGGGCAGGCTCAATTGGCGCACCTCCCTAGAGCTTGCAGAGGACCGAAAGTGGCAACCGTTTGACAGGGACTTCAACCGAACCAACCAAAAGCACTTCGCAAGAAGGAATGCTAAGGTCCCGAACGTTGCGTTCCCTATCATTGGCAGGGCCATGGTATGGTGCCCTATGCGGTCCGTGTGTTTCCATGGTGCGCAACCTCTGGATCTTCACAGAAAGGCCATCGACCTGTGGAAAACTCACTGGGTTTGCAGCTGAGGCTTGTGAAAACTCCCAGTCGAACTGTACAGAACATCTACTCTGCATCTCATCCGACACTGGAAAGAAAATCCCTCCGCTCTTCAGCTGCTGTCTGCTTTCAAGAAAATCACTCTCAATTGCTTCAAGGTCAGCCTCGACGGCCCCACAAGGCTGAGGTCCCTGCAGTCTGAGGGCTTCTTTTCTTTTCATTCCGGGTAGGTCTACGAAGTCTTTCCCATCCCAGGTCCTATCGTCCTGGAAGGAAGTGGCTCTCAGCCACTCGTAGCATCTGTTGGGGATGCCTTTTCGTGACACATACCGGAGATGTCCTTGTGCACGACTCAAGGACCAAAAGAATCTCAGGCAAACCGGACATACTGGATGGCTCAGGAGCATGTGCTCTGGTGCCCTTTCCTTGTGTGCATGTACACGATGCACAAGCAGGGCCTTTTCCGAGCGAAACTGGGCTCCACAGTGGCACTCGAAATTAGCTGCCAAGGCACGCTCCGGCTGCTGAGGTTCCGGCATAAATGCATGTTCAACAATTCTACTCACTTCTATGTATTTCTTCAAAGCTTGTTTGACAAGTCTTTTCCACCCCGGCTTGCCTGAGCTCCAGACAGGGCATAGTTCATCCCATGTCTTCCCCCAAGATTGAAGGTCAACATGGTTTTGCATCCATCCCATATCGAAGGAGAAGGCTTTGAGCCAGCAGTCTTCCCGGAGCTCATACTCTCTTCGCAGCCCATCTGTCACCAAGCTTGGGGCATGTTTCCACATCCGAGGCGCAAAAAGGAGCCGAGCCACAGCCAACTTCACCCTCAAGCAGGGTTGACCTGTCATTTGCAGGATAGTGTTGTCACTCCACACTTTCGCCTCTTTCTTTGTGGCAACTTGAAAGGAGACTTGTCTCAAAAGGCCCAAGTAGCAAGCATGAAGCTTCCTGGTCAAGTTCCCCGATAAAGCTCCCCAACTGCCTGCCCCATAGAAAAGGCGGGAAAAAATAAGCGAGTCGAGCATAGCCAGCCGGGATTTCAAGCTCAGCCGGCCGTTCCGTAGGATGGGCCGGGAAAGCTGCCGGAACATCCCCCATGCTTGGGCAATCCTCAGCTTGATGTCCCGACATAGGTCTCCAGCTGAGTCAATGTATGTTCCCAAGTGTTTGTAGGAGGCGCCCAACTGCAGGTCTCTGTGACCAAAGAGAACAGGTTGAGCTAGCAGGCGTCTTCGGAACTCTGCCGCTCCAGCTCCCACGAACGTGGGGAGCCCTTCCGTTTTGCCTCTTTGCAAATTCAGAGTGAAGCCGTGTCGAGAGAACAGACGATCCACAAATTCAAAAGTTGCTCCCACTTCATCCATCAATGTGTCGTTGCAGGTGGAAATGACTGGGACTGAAAGGTCGTCCGCCCACACTACCGGCAGCCCTGGGTGCCCCAGCTTTTCAAGAGCAGCCTGTCTCTCTGTTCTCTGTGTTAGCCATTGCTCCATTTCACGAATAAGAGGAGCCATAGCCAGGTGGAAGAGAGAGTCAGCAAGCGGGCTGCCGGGCCGGCTACCTCTGTTGGTAGCTACCGGTTCATCAACTATTGAACTCCATGTAAAGCTGTGCAGCTCGCGGAACCACGCCCGACGAAAGCCTGCTGGTAGCAAACCATCACTGCAGATCATCCTCTCGATGTCCTCAGCGTCAAAACCATCCTGCGAGAGTTGTTCGATCAGGACCTTCTTGGCCTTCTCGTTGGAAAGGTCAGCACCAAGCACTAACTCTCGTACTAAGGAGTGGTACGCTGCTTTCAAGTCGAAGAAGAGTATACAGGTTGGTAATTGGCAGCTATAGGCACATCGTACAAAAAGTCTCATGGCTAAGCTGCCAAAAGCTGCCTCCTGGTGGGGCAGCCCACCAATCTGTCCCTGTGGTCTCTCCTTTTCCAACTCATTCATCAGCATCGGTCGGAAGCATGCGTGTGCCCGCCTGGGCATCAAGTTGAGCAGCATGATTCCTCTGAATTGGTTCACCTGCGTGGCATTCCCCAACTTGGGGATCATCTTCAAAACTCCTCCCTTCCAGAAAATTGCCTCCATACAGTGCACCATTGACTTCAGGAGGAGATCGAAGAGGTGTGGTGCTAGCAAGTGGGCGCCAGAATGTAACCAAATACTAGGTACCCCGTCGGTGCCTTTTTTGCTTTGGTATCTCTCAGGACTCGTTCAAGGTCCAGCAGAGAGGGTAGGTCCTCAACCATTGGTGCTACAGCCGTTTTGTTCTGGTGTTCTTCAACAACTTCCCTGTACAAATCTACAAGGGAAGTCTCGGAGCCAGCTTCCAAAGCGCATAAATAGGGGCGCCACTGGCCTTGGAGTCGCTCATTTCGCTCTGCTGCCAGGGCATCATTTCTTGCCTTGGTCTTTGGCAAGTGCCGCTGGACAAGTCTCCACCACTCACGTGGGTCTTTGTTGTCCTCGGCATCTGGCAGGCGGCTGGCCAACCCTTCCCAGAATTGGTGGGCATCTCGTCGGGCTAGTGTGGTTGCCCAGTTCCTCATAGCCATGAAGCACCATTGGAACACTCCTTGTCCCCAATGAAGTTGGACAAGGATGTCATCTTTGACCTTCAGCCATCCCCAAGGGCAGACTTTCTTCTGCCAAACCTTGAAGACAAGAGAAATCCAAAAGTCTTTCAACTCTCGTCGCCCCTTCAGCATCCTTGTCCGCCACATTTGCTTGTATAGAATTGCTTCTCTCGTTTCGTCCGAGAAGAAGGGTTTGGAGTGAAAAGGTTTCCTCTTAGAAAGCACCTTCTCGGCTGCTACGTGCATTTGTTCAATGAGTTGACCTGCATGTTGATGAACATCATGCGTCCAGCTAATGGGTTTCAGCCTTCGGGCAAAGGCTTCCATGGCTCCAGTTCCCGTGTCCATCAATCCAGTGTCATCATAAGGCCCCAGGCAAGGTTTGGGCTTGACTGTTTTTCGGGCCCCTGGCATCCAACCTTGTACATCCAGGAGGACAGCTTTGTGGTCATGATCAAACGTATTCACATTCAGACTGTCGTCCACCCAGGATCGCACACTGCACGTCATCCAGCCTTGCGGGGTCAAGGTGAAGTCAATTCGTGACTCTTTACCAGAGGGATGAGTCCATGTGGAGCTAGGTCCAGTGTGAAGACCCTCCCATGTGCTAGGTGCACAGAGCCCCTTCTCTACGAGGAAGGCGTGTAGAATTTGCCCTGACTCGTTCTCTTCCTCTGCAGCAAAATGGCCCACAGCGGGAGAGGTAATACTCCCTAATCTGGCATTGGCGTCCCCTGCAAGCACCAGTGGGAGGTGTTTCAGGTGTGCAGGAATTGCTTTGCGCATGTCATCCCAAAAGCCTTGTACTCGATCTTGTCCCAGTCCAGAGTGTGGAGCATGGAATGTCCCAAGCAGGATGTCCAGGCCCTCCACAGCCAACCGGGTGAGGATGAGATGCGGCGTAGCAGTCAGGACCCTCCAGTGGCTCTTAGAGACTTGGACGGGTCTGCCTTGCACCCAAAGCAGGGGAAACGACTTGTGCAGGTCCTTTCTCGCATGGGTGTGCCAGGAGCCAGAAATGTTCATTCGTCATTGTCTTTCTAGTCAAACGGGTTTCTTGGATTGCAACCACATTGGCTCCTTTGATGTTGCATTCTTCGAGAAACTGCGTCAGTCTGACATATCCAGACAGCTCTTTTGCTTT